GCTGCACAGCCATCACTACATTATTGAGCCCTGAGAAGGCCCCGGGGCTCATGGCTCAGAGATATGTTTTTTAAATGGACCTAAGAAAAGAAAAGAGCTTCTCCACTTGCCACCAAAGAGCATGCCATGAAAATTCACAAAACTGGGCTGAAGTTTCAGTACTGACTCGTACACTGAATGCCATGGCAATTTACAGCCTAAAGCCTAGCGCCTAAGCTTTACTTTATCGTCAGCCTCTAAGGTAAATAATTCTCTGGACAACTGTCTCAAACAGAGAAACTGCAAATTACTCTATCGTGATTACAAGCCAAACTGTACCTGGTCCTACAAGCACATCAGATAAATTATACACAGTGTTTTTCACAATGAAAGAGAAAAAGAAACAGCCGTAGCCACCAATACCGTTGGTGTTTACATCTCTGTTAGCATAGGAGATGGTCTAGAAAGCTCCATGCCAATACCAGGCCCCACCACAATCACAGGAGACCACAACTTGTAGTCTTTTCATCTGGGGCTGATGTTGGCCTTGCAGCCACAATATGCTTAGTTTTAATTCCATTTTCCTTTTTGCTGCACTTAGTAGGGACTTTACCAACTTGCTTTGTAACATGAAAATTAAAGTTCAGCTTCTTAAAATCCTCAGGAAAAACAAATGTGCATTTCTCACTATTTCCTAAATCAAATGATATACGGTCCAATCTGACAATTTAGTGTTCTTGACTCTGCTCAGTTAGTGCTTTTAAAACTAAAGTCAAAGAATTTAATCAGAGCTTCAATCAAGAGCATTGCAATGGCAATTATGAAAGAAACGAGAGACAAAAGCATAATGTACAGCTATGCACCAGGACTCATGAGACGAGCAAGAGAGACAGGCTTGCTCTGAACAGTCAAGCCAAGGAGACATGTCAGCCCATGAACATGGCCCTCTCCTACCTCTAGGTAGGAGTGTCCTATGGGACACTTCCAACACACCTCAGACACTCTCCCTGACTGGGCTCCCTGGTCTCTCTGTGTTCTTCAAATAACTAAGTCCTCTTCGCCTCCGTGTTCTCAGTTTTGGTTGTGAGACTATCCTTTAACAGTTGAGCCACCTCTCCAGCCCTCACCTCTGGGCTTTCATAGTCACTATTTCCTTCTGGCCAAAGTGTTTTCTGACAATTATTCCTTGACTGGTTATTCTATTTATCAGGTCTCAACTGAAATATGCCACTTCTTGAAAGAGGCTGAATAAGCATCCCTGAATTACTTATAACTTCAGTATACTATTTTCTTCACATAATGACCATTCAGGTGGTCATTTATAACCATTTATAACTCCTTTATAACAAATCTCCTAGGTTTTACTGTTTATATTTTTCATCACAAACACTAAATCATTACACTGCAAGACATGTCATCCCATTATTATAGTCTCAGGCAAAGAAACAATACAGTATTATTTGCCATAATAGTTTCTGGTCACAGATGACCACGTAGAACAAATTTAAACTTATACCATATCTGAAGAGCCTGAGATAATTTCCCCTGGATACAGACATCTCGTGAATAAGAGGAGGCAGCGTGTTCAGGGTCATCATCACACTGCACAAATGACCCATTTCCACATATCTTCACAGTGTGCATTTATTCCACCCTAAGATGTTTCATTCTCTATAACTTTACTTTTTAGTTTGAGACAAATAAGGGCTGAAAACTCTGTAGGGCAAAAAAAAAAAGGGGGGGGTACAGAAATAAAAAGAGTTGAATTAACTGTCATTAAATTACTTTTTACACAAACTACTGCTCATCCTACAAAAATATTTTCATTGCTCACTTAACAACTGTTTCAGCACTACTGGGGAATGAACTGACAGCTCTGTATACAGGTGAACATTCTCTCTGGGCTCTAGCTCCACCCCATCCAAGCCTTGACCGACCTCCCGCTCCCCTCGGCCCACAAGCAGCCCAGATGGTGGGCCTGTTCCATCAGGTGGGGTGTGTGCATAAAATGAAGCAGGGTCAGGGTCTTTAAAGACAGACACACCTGCGAGCCCGGGAGTGGACTTCTCCAGAGTCACCAACTAATATAACTTTGAACATTCAAGCATCCCCAGTTAGAATAAAATGCAACATAATTTTCCTTGTTAATATTAGTGGATTTTTTTTTTTTAATTTAATGATCTCCTACTTGGCAGCAGGGTCTTTAGGAAAAATGCAAATTTCATGAACAAGAAATATCTATATTTTCCTCAATGCTGTTACCACACTATGTATGTTTTTGACATGGGACATTAAGGCTCCTGCAGTGGTCCGGGGAAACACTAAAGGAGACCTAAAGTATTCATAATGGCAATGAAAAAAAACAAGCAAACAGAAGTTTGTATATCAGAGGTAGAAATGACCAGTTAGTTGACTAGAATGGGAAATTAAGTCGTTTCACCTTGGTGATACGACGGACTGAAATGACTAAATAGGGGAAGAAACAGATTTAAGGATTAAGGAGAGAAACAGAGCCAGGCCTGGCAGCACATGCCCATGATTCTAGTATTTGCAAGGTAGAGACCAGAGGATCAGAAAGCCAAGGCCATACTCTGCTCCACAGAGTTAGAAGCCAGCAGGGCCATATGAGACCCTACAGGGATGAGGGGGAAAGGAGGGAGGCAGGGAAGAAGGGGATAGGAAAGGAGAGAAGGGAGAGGAGGAGGCAGGAGGGGTGAGGGAGAACAGGAATACATGAAACAGAACACCAACAGGCTTGTTCCTGGATATGATGAACCTGAAATGCCTATTGTGTATCCAAACAGCAATGTCATCAAGAGCACAGGCTACCAAAAGTAGAGAATAAAGAAGAGGTAATAACAACTACAGCTATATTTGGGAGTCATCAACAAAGAATTTGCTTATTTGTTCATCAGGACTGGATCAGCGAGAGAGAGATTAAAATCACAGGAAAGGTAGCCTGAGCCCTGAGATTTGCCAACATGACAAATGGGCTTCCTTCTCCTAGTTTCCTCTGTTGTTAACTAATTCATAAAGGTATTTTTCAATGACAACATAATACAGTCATTCCTCTGGAACAACAGGGGACTGGTTCCAGCAAACTAAGGATGATCAAATCTTTCTTATATAAAATGGCATATATTTGAGATAACCTAAATGTATCCTTCATGTATCTTTCTATTTCTTTAACTCCTCTCTAGAGTAATCAGAACAAATGCATTATACTTTTGAGGTAATAATAAGATGCTCCCCAGTCTCTCCAAGTTCAGTACAGAGGTGCTCATCACAAGCATGTGATGTTCGGGTCCTGAATCGTGGATGTGGCATCCGCAAGTGTAGAGGCACAGATATAGAGTTAAGTATGCTGTCATTTAAGCATCCTAACTGGGCCAGCCAGTGGCTCGACTTTAATCCAGGTACTTGGGAGGCAGAGGCTGGTGGATCTCTTGAGTTTGAGGCCAGCTTGGTCTATAGAGTGAGTTCCAGGACAGCCGAAGCTGTCCTGTCTCAGGAAAAATAAAATAAAATAAAATAATAATTAAAAAAAAAAACTGAAAACAGAAAAAAATTCAACTATCTCCTATATTCAATATGTGTATTATATACAATTTTAACTTTCATATTCAACTAGTCTTGCAATATTTACATCATAATCTCCAAGACCATCTTTGGAACTCCCTCCAAGAAAAATAAATGCCAGACTCTAGCCTCAAGCTGCTGTATTTACACAGAGAGAAAAAGGAGAAAAAGAAATGGAACAAAGAACAAAAAAGCTCCCCTTCCGAAAGTAGCAGGGATAATCTCACCAAACACAGCAGCAACCACATTTCCAAAATGACCCGCATTCAAACAGTGACTCCTTTAACTTTATAACACATCCCATAGACTTTCCTTAGTTATAACCAAACAGAATGGAGCACAAGGAATGCTACTGAAAACCTCAAGTCAAAAATATTTAACAACTCTTCCTTTTCCTGCTGCTCTGGTTTCTACAGACACCAACAAGGATGACTACTAGACAAATTAGGACGCAGCTCTTGAACACCTTCTATTCAGAGAATACATGTGAGAAGCTGCTGGCTGAGTGAGAACTGGCAGCAGTGAAGTCACTGAGCTTGGGACCTAAGTTTAGATTAAAGGTACACATGATCCCCGTAACACCTAACCATCACTCCACCAGACCCCCTGCAATACCACAAAGCCCAACCTCAAATGAACTGAGAAAAAAAAGCCTAAATTTTATTTGACTAGTTTTCCTATTGTATGACTTTAAATTCATAAAACGAAATTTTTCTCCAACATCATTTACTCTGTCAAGCTAACCCATATTCTGATGTAAGGCTGCTTTCCTACTTGAGGGAAAAAAATTATTATTATCATTGGGAATAGAACATATTCTTCGCAAATGTGGCTAGCGAAAACAGTTTAGGTAGTTGCTACTCAGTAAAACAAAACACAACTTATCAACATTATTAAAAAGGAAGGAATCACAAACCAAATAAATGCCAACTATCTGTGGATAGGACTAATTCTAACCTCTCTGAATTCTGCTTGGCCTCACGTTCTACCGCAGAACAGATGATCACTGTAATAAAATCCCTGCTTGTTTCTTCTCTAATATTGTCACTCAGAATCTACACATTGGTCAAGAAGGCCAATCAACCCCACAATCTCTACTAAAGGCAACAAGATAAACTAATTATTCCAACTGTAAGAACACATTTCACACATGAAACAAAGCACAAGAGGGTTATCAACCATTAAACATGAAGACAAAGAGTATGGCCAGAAATATTATCCCTTTACTACTACAGTGTGAAACCCTCACAACTCCAGAGCTTCAGAGAAGACACAGACCCTAGATTGAGAGTCCACTGTTATACCGTGCAGTTTACAAGCTACAAAACCAACACTTTTAAAATTGAGGATGCATGCTTGGGTTGCAAACACACTTGGTGTCTAACACTTGACTAAGTCATCTCAGAAACGTTTATGAGACGGAAGAACTTAATTACTCTTACCTTTGCAGACACTCAAAACCATACCGCCCGAATTTTGTACTTCATCAAATTTGGCAAGTATCATTTCTAATCTGGGAATAAAGAATAAATTGTTTTTACATAGAGGTGAACAGAAATAATTTCTTTTACCATCTCATTTAGAAAAGAAGATTCTAGGGATTTGCTTTATCTATACAATTGACTCATTGTAGACACAAACTCTGCTCTCTTCATTCATGAGAAGCCAAATACAGGCCTGCTTCTACATGTGTGGATATCTCAATAAAAACAACTTTCACACAAAGTAATTTCATCAAAATTATTTCTCCAAGCCCAGCAAGAAATTCTGTAGTTCCATCCTTGTAACAAATCCAAGACTCAGACATTATTCAAAAGTCTGTGAAAGTCATGCTAAGGAGATGGAAGGCAAACAAAAGATAAAGGCAGAAACTACAGTGATGCAGGAATGACTGCATCTGAAGCTTCCCCTGATATTACCCTATCTCCCACAACACCAATTCCACTAAACTTATATTCACAGTAATTACTCTTTCCACACTTCTGCTAATACTTGAAAAAAAAAAAAGCAGCAACAAACAACACAAACAACACCCCTTTCTTTCTTATTAGAAATGCAATGCACAATCATTACAGAAGGATATTAGGAACACAGCAAGCACAAAGAAAAAAGTACCAGCACATTCACTGACCATGCAAAGAACTTCTGTCCTGGAGTATTTAATATTGACATAGATCTTCCTTTGGGATAAAACTTCATCTTGCTGACAATATAGTTTGCTTTTTCTTTAACTTTCCAACCTATCATTCTATGACTTCTTCTATTCATGACACATATTTGAGCAAGGAAAAAGAATCACTGTTCTATGACTTTTAACTGCCAATTTTTTTTTCCTTTGGCTTACTCTTCTTTTTCACAATTCTATTTCCTAAAACATGTTATTAAGTCTTGATTCACATCTTTTAATTTCTTACTTAAAAAGTGAGCTTACAGATACTTTTTCAAATGACAACACCTAACTTTAATAAGAAATAAAAGAGCCAGGTGGTGGCGGTGGATGCCTTTAATCACAGCACTCAGGAAGCAGGGGAAGGTAGATCTGAGTTCGAGGCCAGCCTGGTCTACAGAGTGAGTTACAGGACAGCCAGTGCTACACAGAGAAACCCGTTTCAAACAAACAAATACCAAATTTGTTTTTTAAGTACTAAATTTGTTGTAAGAAGAAAAAGAAGAATAGAAAAGAAAAAGAAAAAAAGAAAGGGGGGCTGGAGAGAGAGATGGCTCAGAGGTCAAGAGCACTGGCTGTTCTTCCAGGGGGCGGGGTTTGATTGCCAGCACCTACACAGCAGCTCACAACCGGGTATAACTCAGTCCCAGGGGATCTGATATCATCTTCCTGGCCTTCACAGGTATTGCATGCACATGGTGTGAACACATACATGCAGGCAAAACACCCATACATATAAAATAAAAGGAAAAGAAAAAAATGTATTTTTTAGCTAAAAACTCCTGGGATTCCTTATAAAGCAATTTCTAACCCTTAGCCACACCTCCGGCACCAGCTGATCCAATAAGTACAACTATGTATGTATCTGCGGAGGAAAGACACAGGCTGCCTCATCCTACAACACAGCATCTTCCACGGGGCTGAGCAGATCAAGCAGGTAAGATGCGAGCATGAGATGCAGGGAGCACCGACCCTGGAGCCTGACACCTCAGGGCGGGTCCAGAAGAGCCAGGGACAGAAGGGCACGGACTTGGAGAAGCTGTTTGTGGGAAAAGCAGTGTAAGTCCATGAGAAACATGACAACACATGAAAACCTGGGTTCCCTCAGCAACACAAACAGAAAAAATTCTAAAGATTAGGAAATGGGAGTAAGAAACTTAGGATAGAAATCGTAGAATGAGGGGGAGGTGGGCGGTGGCTGTAACCCTATAAACCCAGCACTTGAGTCAGGAGGAGCAGGGACTCCAGGTGAGCCTCGGCTATCAGGGGAGTTCAAAACCAACCTGGGCGCAAGAACCCGGCCTGTCTCCAACAAACACCAAACAGGAAGTCCAGAAAGGGGCTAGCATGGAGCAAGGAAGAGACACAAGCAGCGTTGCTAGGAAGAGGAAGCAACTGCGACAGTTGAGTAGAGGGAAGGGGAGACAGGGGCCGCCAAAGTCTCGGGCTAGGCTAGGCAGGAAGGGGGAAGACAGCTACTTCACACTCCCTCTTGTGCGAGTTCTCACTTTCCCCCTGCAACTACCTAGCGCCTTCTGGGCCTCCCCTCTTCCCAACCATTCTCTTTCAGCAACATTCACAGTAAACCACAACGCAACCTCAGTACTGACTAAAAAAACATTTACTGTCCTGTTCAAAAGCTTTATCAAAGACAATTTACATCTTTAAAGCAAACAAATGAACGAATAAAAGCCCAGCATAATTTTCTACATAGACTTCACTGACGATTCCAACTTCCACCATTAAACTTCAAACACATATTTTACAACTTAATTTTTTTCTTAGGAGACGCAGCTGGCCTGGCACTACCTCTATAGGCCAGGCTGGCCTCGAACTCACATAGATCTACCTGCCTCTGCCTTCTAGATACTGAGATTAAAGGCATATGCCACTATACCTGACAGAAACTCATTCTTTTGTAATTTTTTTAAATTTTACATGCATTGATATTTTGCCTGAGTGTATGTCTGTGTGGAACTGGAGTCACAGACAGTTGTGAGCTGCCGTGTAGGTGTTGGGAATTGAGCCTGGGTCCTCTCTTAACCACTGAACTATCTCTCCAGCCCCCAAAACAGAACACCTTTCATGTATAATCTAATGAAAAATGAAACAAAGAGCTTAAAGAAGACTCCAGGCCCTTCTGAATAATTGTGTGTGGGGATGAGTGTTAAGAGCAGTTTTTTTCCCCGGCCTGGTCCCACCGCCGCACCCGCCCCAAATAACACACTGAGATGCTATATTTGATATAAAGCTGTAGGCCAGTTACTAGTTTCTTATCGGCTAGTTCTGTCTTAAATATTAACTCATTTCTATTGATCTAAGTATTTCCACGTGGTCTCATCTTACTGGAGAGAGGGGCTGGCGTTCTGCTCTCTCCGTCGCCCATGTTGAACCTCCTCCCTGTTACTTCCTCTCTCCTCCTTGTCTCCTAGTCCCGCTTATCTTGCTTTCCTATTGGCCAACAGTGCTTTATTCATTAACCAATAAGAGAATCATATTTACAGAATGACATCTCCCATCTGGTGAGAGCAACAAATTGAAAGGAAGGGGAACACAGCAAAGACAGGGCTGTCCAAGAGAATTTAACACATCTGAGGAGTCTCTGGGAAGGTTCACATTTACAGGCTACAGGAAAACAGACCTGGAAAAAGCGACTCTAACTTAAGTGCAGTCCCAGGCTCCAAGTTAGGAAGAGGAAATTACGGTCAGGTGTTCAGAGTCATCCATCTGCTTTGAGCTTTACTGAGTGAGACTTTTAATACCATGCAACTCATGGCACTGAAGTGTATCTTTCAGAGCGGAAATGTAGCTCAGGAGTACAACCCTTGAGCAGCATGTGTGAGGCTTTGGGATTTATCCCCACTGTCACAAAAAGAGAAAATGAAACATACAACTGTGGTTTATAGTCTATCCTGAGTAATACAACCATTACCACGATTTTTACAATTTTACCATCCCAAGGGACATCCATTGGCAGTAGTTGTTCCTTCTCTGTTTTCTCTCTCCTCCCCCGTTCTAGGCAATCACCAATCTACTTATTACTATAGACCATACCTGACGTGTGAATTATCCCATCTGGTCATTAATTCAAGTGGAAACATAACGTGGCGCTTTTGATGACTGGGTTCTTGCTATTCTACTGTATAGACATACTGCACTTGAATATTCACTCATTAGTTGATATACGTGGGGATGGGAGATGTTTGGGTGGTTTTGTGACCTTGACTAATGCTGACACTCTGCAGTTATAAACTGTGCCCCCCAGCTGCTTTATTGGCACATGGTCCCATGAGAGTCTCATCCTTTTATACTTTAGCTATGCCACGGTGGTGTGAAGAGGTCTGTGGCTTTGTTGTTTTGTTTTGGGTTTTTTTGTTTTTTGTTTTATTTAGGTATGTAGTTTTGATCAGACTTTCTTACATAGTTAAATGACAGTCAGCATCATTTTATGTGTTCCTGGCTATCTGTGTATTCTCTTTTTATAAGTATTTCATTTGGATCCTTTAAAAATCGCATGACCTGTTGTCCTTTATACAATCAAGATACAAGTTTCATATTATTTGGAAATATTCCCATCACATATGGGTTTTCTTATAATGTCCGTTGAGGCATATTTTGAATTATTATAAAGTCAATTTTTATTAAATATGCCAACATATTTTTAGTTAATCCTTTTATTTTGGAGAATGATTTACATAATTACCTCATTCGCTCCTTCCCTTTCTTCCCTCCAAAGCCTCACATATGCCCTCCTTGCCGCCTTTCAATCTGGGCCTTTTCATTAATTATTGCTGCATTTATATATGTACATGAACACACACACATATTCTTATTAATTATTGCTGCATTTATATATGTACATGAACACACACACACATATTCTTATTAATTATTGCTGCATTTATATATGTACATGAACACACACACATATTCTTATTAATTATTGCTGCATTTATATATGTACATGAACACACACACACATATTCTTATTAATTATTGCTGCATTTATATATGTACATGAACACACACACACATATTCTTATTAATTATTGCTGTATTTATATATGTACATGAACACACACACATATTCTTATTAATTATGGCTGTATTTATATATGTACATGAACACACACACACATTCTTATTAATTATTGCTGTATTTATATATGTACATGAACACACACACATATTCTTATTAATTATTGCTGTATTTATATATGTACATGAACACACACACACATATTCTTATTAATTATTGCTGCATTTATATATGTACATGAACACACACACACATATTCTTATTAATTATTGCTGCATTTATATATGTACATGAACACACACACATA